ACCAATTATTCACCTTCTAGTAAGGGTAGCTAAAGCTCTATATATATGAGTCTGATCGTAGATATGATACAATCTAATAATCCATCTCCCAAATCATTCCTAACCTTAGTGATCCAATTTTCCACAATAACTGTTATGGACTAGCCTTAAGGGAGAATGCAATAAGCGTTAATAATAGTATTTAGTATCTTAAAGGAGAGGTAAGCCCTCTAAGCCTTTTTATAGGTGTGCAATATATTCGCTTAGTAGTAGTGTTAGACTTAGTCTATCTTGTGTTAGACCTAGGCTTAGGCATAAGCCTAAGCCCTTTATATACCCCTAACCTTCCCCTATAAACTATTGTAAAGTTATCTTTCTAGGGGTCTAGGGTTATATCTTTGTCCCTATAATCTGTTTTAGGCTTTATTTCTATATATTCTTAGGTTTTATTATTATATCTTTATATTCCTTCCTAATTTGTAACAGGCCTATATATTAAGTAGTACACGCGCGTAGCGTCTATACTCTTATTTTAGTACCCTACTATAAAAGTTCTAATATATGCTGTCCCCCCCTACTATAAATTTCCTAAACTTACTTTGTTATATAATAGATTTTCCCTACTAATAAGCCCTCTCTCTACCCTTTCTATATTAATCCTGCCTATCTAGCCTCTATTATATCCTTATCTACTGCTACTAGTACTAGTAGTAGGGATCTACTATAAGGCAGTTAGATCCTACGCTAGGCCTACTAAGATAAGGTGCGTACTTCTAATATTCTCCCTATGTTTCCTACACTAACTTTTGCTTAGCACACGTCTCCCTAAATATAGTTACTTAGTAGCTTTATTATTTCTAGTAACTTAGATAATAAGGAGTATAATAGTAGCTTTATAAAGCCGCTTCCCTATAATTAGTGTATTAACTAGCTTTATCTTTTTAGCAAGTATAACTATTAGGAAGGTAGTAGTAAGTTCCCCTTAATTTTTGTTTTCTTTATAGCAAGTTCTAACTATATCTAGGGCGCTTATATAAGTCCTGCTATTGTGGCTATAAGACTTATACTTAGTTAGAAGCTATCCTTACTAATAATCCTAATATTTACTAAGCCCTCTATAACTAGCTTTAGTTTTATTA